CAGGTTCTTGCCTTATGTTGGATGGGTGACTATTATCATGACAGAAAAGCCTATCATCAAGGTACAATCTTCTTACACGGCCTGCGATATATGTCATGGTTTTTGACTTGAGACCTGCGTACTCACTATAAGATCATTCTTTATCTTCTCTTCTTGCAGTATATACTTATCGGTGCATTGGGTTTGCTCGTTATAACATCCAAAGACTGAGACAACAAACAGAAAAAAAGCCGGTCGTTGGGTGTGGAAGTGGTTCCTGAAACCATCGGTTCATCATCTTTGTTAGCCATGTCCTTAAAAGGAAGAACAATTCAAAGGCCGGTCTTTTTATTCTTTTAAGTGATTTAAACTGTAGAATCATATAAGCAACATTTTATATTATAATTAATAAATTATACAGTTTTGTCTTAAAATCAGCTAAATTTTGGTGACAATTTCTTTAGCATCATTGTCTGTGACTTCATCTCCGGTGGAGAGTTCTTGAAAAGTTGAAGAAAAAAAACGATTGAAGTATGAGAAAAACGATTTGAAGTATGAGGACCTTAATACAAATAAGCGTAACTTTGATCTAAAGATTACTACAGCTTAAATTCACAGAAACAGTCAGGTAATGCAGATCCTCTACCAATTTCAAAATCATTCTTATGAACCTCCCAAAGAGCTTTCTTCAGCTCTTCCTCTTCAAGTTCCTTAGAAGTGAGCTCTGCAAATGCTTTTCTGCTCAAGAACAGAGTTTTATGCATTCCTTTATAAGCTCGCATCGCTGCAACCATTTTATCCATGTTTCCAAAATAAGTAGCCACATACGCGTCGCTGTTGATGGAAACATAAAAATCCAATGCAGCTTTTGTGTTTCCATGCATTCCTGTGAAATCTTCGTGGTTTAGCAGAGCAGATTTTGTGAAAACATTTGTATAGACCGATGTGAAACCTTCCATCTCCATCAGACCATCTCCTGCTGCTAAGTATATGTTTGTGCTAGTTGGGATTCTCAGTGATTGAAGCATCAAAGCTGTTTCGTTAGGAGTCAAAGGGCATTTGCCTCGCTTTCTCCAACTCTGAGCAAGCTCTCCTGTCCAAGGCTTTCTGTCTACTCGAGCAGCTTCAATGGCAGCAATTGAGGAAGGAGATAGGTTTCGGTATTCACATCGACTGTATGCTACCATGTCAGGTTCAAATCTGAGGTGAAGTGACAAAAAAGGTTTGGGTATGGCATCTAAGAGTTCGATGGCCTTCTTCTCCAATGAGCTAGTGAGGCGTAGAGCAGAATAACAAGCTTGACACAGCGTGGCTTTAGCGTATTGGGGATACCTGAAACGTAACCACACAAATGCTGAAAATAAGAAACTATAAGATTTCAAGTGACATAAATTCCACAATCGGACAAAACCAGGTACCTGTCCCTGCGCTGGCTCATTGCGGGTGTAAGAGAAATGTAACGATGTTCCAATAATAGTGGGAGAATGCTTTCTCTGTAATCAAATTGACCTTTTCTTTTGCTACAGTCTACTCTGAATGGCTGTTTCGATGCTATATCCGTTGGCAGATCCTTGACAACTTTGATATAGCCACTCATCTTTTGAATGAAGTAGTCTACATCAAACACATCTGCAAATCCACTGCAGGAAGAATATATCATATCATTTTAAATAGCGAAAGTAAACTAGAGAAGCTTTTAAACATTTAAGTGGTTAGTTACCTCGACTCATTCCAATATGCAGCTACCTCAAACTTTGGCAGAACAAGTGTGGCATTTAATAAACGAGCGATTCCAACACCATCACAGAACTGCAAGCATCAACATATGATCAATGATTATTCACCAACAAGGCAAATCAAGAAATGACAGTTCAGGTCTCTTGACTAAAACTTACATCGCGTCTCATCTGATTGAGGCCCCCATAGCAATCAATGCGGATGTACCCATTGCTTTTCGAAGGTAGAGCTGAACAAAAAACCAAAGCAGATGTCTGCAATGAAAACCGATCAAAAGTTTTGATATACACAGAATAATCAAAAAGAGAACTTGAGCCAACCAACAAGCAATGTCCTTTCTACACATTTACACAAATGTAAGAACATAGGTCGCACAATGACTCTGAACAAACCATCTAAAACTAATTATTGCTTTACAAGAAATTTGCATATCTACCTCCACAAGAAGGAGAATCAGAAACTGGCATTGCTAATTCATTTCAAGAAACAGATTCACACAATCAGATCCATCACAGGAGTCACTTAGTTACAGCACAAAACTCATGAAAAGAAAAGATAAAGAAAGAATCCATACGAGTGAGATGTCCTTGTAACCACCATTTGCAAGGACGCCATTCCACTACCCTCTTGACACTCCATATATCCAAATCACTGAAGCAC